CAACCCAAATTGCGAAGAAGTTCCTGGAGGCGGCAGTGTCGAGGGTCGAGAAGGACGGCATCAAGTTCGATGTTACCATAACAATGGCGGCTGTCAAGGGTGGTGATGAGGTAAAGGACCTCCTCAAGTCAGGTGCCTCATATGAAAAGATGCAGATGACCTCCTCCCCTATCTTCGGCCCTGCGATTGGTGGACTGAGTTCCAAGGAACACAGGCAGTCAAGCGATTGTGCAAAGACCTTCGAGGATGGCTTGAAGGCATCAAGCAAACCGGAGGAGCTTGTTCTGGCCTTCTTTGTCCTCAAGCAGATCAAGAAGGGCAGTTCCAGCGAAGAGACCGTCTACGTGTCCTCTCTATGCTTTGTCATTGCGGGTGAGGAGGTATCGCACTTAACTGGGGTGAAGGACAAGAGCAAGTCAGAACCATACACGCTTCTCCGCTACGCCGTTGGCGGTGCCAGCGCTTCGGTTTGCTTGGTTGCCGTGACAGCTGAGGAGAGCCGGAAGGACAGCGTGAATGCCGCTCTTGATGCGGTCAAGTCTATGCGGCAGGTCAAGAACAGCGCCCCGCGCAGTGGAAACGTCAAGCACTTCGTGGACTTCACAAAGAATGAGCTCCCGAAGCAGAAGGCGGCCGCGGAAAAGCTGAACGACAACCCCGAGAAGCAGAAGTCCGCTCAGAAGATCGTCACCCGCATGGAAGTGATGCTGAAGGACGCACAGGAACTCCTGTCTAAGCCAAAGGAGACGAAGCCAAAGGCATATTGAGATTTCCTTTATTAAAACAAAAAAGAGAAGAATCACTCCCGCATCCATACATACGCGAAGCGAAAAGGAGAAGAAGACACACTGAACTCGTATGCTAAGGAATTGGAAGATGGGAGACAAAGGGAAAATGTCTCACTGTTTAAATAGTGTGTTCTAGGCACAATAATTTATGTGCACAGGCGATCACACAGCTGAGTAAGAAAACAGATCATCCCCCCTCCCCTCTCTCTTTCTCCCTCTCCTTCATTCAATTCCTCTTTATTCCTACTCTTCAAATGGTGCAATTGTGTGTATTTCAGCGGAGGCGAGGGGACACATTAACGTTCTGTAGGTGTTACAACTGCTTTACGGTTTCTTCCTTCCATCTTGCAAAAGAAACAAGGGTGTGTTGGGGAACTCTGTCTCGCCTTTTTTTTTTTTGAACCTCATAGTTTATTTTCTCAGCGGCACTACCTTTTTTTTTCCCAAAGCAAGCATTTCTGAGCGTTTTGTTTGTTTCTTACTCCGGTGATCTTCATGACTCATTGTTGTTGTGCTGACTTTGCGTAGAGAAAACAACTCTCGAAGAGGAATGCGGCTTCGTGAAGAAGGTAGTATGAGTGAAAGGGGAAAGAGAAAAGTATTTGTCATTTTTTTTTTTGATTTTTGGTTTGTGAATTCTTCATAGGAGCTGATGGGCACTCATTCGACAGGGGGGATCCCGTACATCGTGAGAGAAATAATGCTGTACAAAGGCAATCGAACACTGCCAGGAGAAAAAAAAAACGGAAGGAAAGCAAATGACATACTTCGTACATGTTAATGCCGTACTGACAGGTGTGATTAAATGTCTCTTTTTGGGGGTGTTTAAAGTGCTTTGGTGGCAAATAAAAGCAAAGAGCCTGTTTAAGATAGCCCTCGAGTGCTTCTATGTTCATATGTGCTCGCTATGCCCTGATTTTTACCCAACGCCGCAGCATAAGAATATTGCCTCACCTTGGTGTAGGCACCATACACTGACAAAAGGGTGGAAAGACATTCTCTCTGTGTGCGCGCGCCCAGGTATGGTGCCGGTGGTCAATGGAGGGACGATAAAAAGGGAAATGCGAAGCACCTTTATGGGAGCTAAAGAAAAAGAAAAGGGAGATGGTTTTTTTTAAAAAAAGTCCGGGAAAGTGTTGAAGAGAGGTACAGGAAAAAGGAGAATTTCATCTCTCCCAACTACCGTTAGCTTGTTTTGTTTTTTTGTTTGTTTGTTTTAAGTTTTTTTGTCTTGTTCACGCCCTTACCCTTTTTTTTCCTTCTCTGAGTACACCACAGGCAGGTTGCTCGCCTCTAAAAGTCGAGTGGTTGGCGACGTGGTGCTCTCGTGTCGGTGCGGTGCTCCACCTCCACTCGCTGCAAAAAACTCGCTCTGTTTCTGCTTCTTCATTTCACTTCTGCACAGCGCCCATAGAAAGGATGGACTGGGAAGCTGCTGCCGCCGCACGAGTGGGCCGTCGCGCGCCGTTGTGCGTGGAAGAGAAGAGGGGGGAGAGGTGAGGAGGGACAGCGCGTGTTTGTTTGAGGTGTGCTGCCCATGCGTGGTTCAAAGACCGCTTGCGTCGCTGGCCAGGGGTGCGCGGGCGCAGTGGTGGGGAGCAGGCAAGAATTACTGCGCCAGTCGGGCATGACGGAAACGGGAAGGATGAGGTGAATAAAGGACAACTGCTCAGCGGTGTTAGGGACAGTAGCAAGAGGAATGTGGTGAGTAATGGCATAAATCATTCATTCAAGAGAGGGGGAGGCAGACGTGACAACCCGTTCCGAGGGGTAGCAACATCTGGTGTGTCATACGAGATGGTGTTGGGGTGCCAAAATAACATTTATTCTTGGGATTCGGCATAAATGCATCTGTGAGACGCTTCTGCTGTGCGTTGCGGTACCCTCAGGTGGGGGGAAGGTGCAAATAGCGGGCATGTGTATCAGTTTTTCGCTGTGTTATTTCTTCACTTGGTGCAAGTAGTGTGCGGCTTGGTCAGGAACTGGGTCATAACATTGTTTCAGACACTCAGCTTGACTGAGTGGGTGTGACTGTGTGTTTCACCCGTGTCTTTCCCTCATTCATTTCATGAGGCAATAAATGCAGTGCGGTGTGCAGTATCAATTTCTTTTCTGTATCTTTCCGTGTGTTTAGCGAGCTGTGATGAGTGCGTATGGCAGCATCAACGGTAGCTTCCTGGAAAGCCTCCTGAACCTGCAGATTGAAGACGAATCAACCAGTTATGCCAACAGAGATTCTGTTCAGGGGTGGAAGCTAGCCGCTACGTCAGGGGGTTGGCTTGACGAAAAATCGGCCCCTTATCAGCAGCCCCGTGCCTGGGATGTGGGCAGGAAGGCAACGCGACCAACAAGAGTGTCAATCGCTCCGGACGTGCCCAATGGTGGGCCAGTGGCAACAAGGGGTTCGTCGGAGGAAAAGATGCGGGGAAGTAGGAGCCCTACTCCTACATACGTTAGGCGCAGCCCCAGGTCAGGCCTTGGGGGGGTAAATGGCCCCCTATCGATGTCCACTGGTAGTTATTTTGGTGAGTACGGCAACTTAGATGAATTCGCTTGCACGAATACGACCGCAGAGTTCCCTGCAAAGACGCTTGACCGATATTCTGTGGAATTCAAAGAGGGGTGGCTAAACAATAGCGCCATGTTTGGTTCATTGTTGCAGGATGACGATCGGGCTCCTTCTCCAACAGTTGTCGCCCAGGAGGTGGATAATGGTGCTTGGGCCACTCAACTAGTGAGAAGTGATCGTAACGGCACAAAAACCAGAAACCAAAATGTTCCTGGTCGACGCAATGACTCGCGCACTTCAAACGAAACTGGTCCTCCGGTGAATTCATCGGTGGTTCCAGTAGGGCGTTCGACACTCGCGGTGAAGTTTGTCGGCCTGGTGGAAACGCGCCCAACACCCCCAATGAATATTTCAGACACGCCAGTAGCATCTTCGGAGTCACCATTGAGGCGTCGGCGTTCGCCAGCAAGGTCATCGAAGACGCCAGTAGCGCTACTGGATCCCCCAGGGAATATTTCAGACACGCCAGTAGCATCTTCGGAGTCACCATTGAGGCGTCAGCGTTCGCCAACAAGACCATCGAAGACAAAGAAGACGCCAGTAGCGCCACTGGATCCCCCGGTGAATATTTCAGAGATGCCAACGAAGCGTGTGCATCCACCTAAAGGGAGTTTGGGCCCATCTGGAACGCGTTCGAATGTGACAGACAAGCCTTCTACTACTACACTGGGGACTCCGGAGGCGCCAGTGAAGCCTTTGGGAGCATCATTAGGCTCTTCAAGGCGATCGGCGCCAGGTTTGGAACAGCCAGCCAAGCAGAACTCTGTGCCACTGGAACGTGTGCGTTTCTCTTTTGTCTCGGAATTGGAATCACCAGGTTCAGATGCAATTATGTTGAATGCGTTTCCTCCAACAGAAAGGCTTGACCATTCAGCGAAGCAGGAGGCACACGGCGGTGAACATAGCCATCAAGTGAGTTTTCAAAAGCGGCGAATGCGCCGCTATGCCATTCGGGAGGAGGGTAAAGAGAACGATGACTTTCGTATTAAAACTGTTGCAGTTGTCCATTCGCGTGATGCACGGGATGACTCAGGGGCGGAGTTGCCATCATTTACCCTCACTGATGAGAGTGGGGGTGGCATGGTCAGTGTGGTCCGTCACGAGGAGCTCCGTGACGGTTGTTTAGTTGAGCTTAAAACTGACTATGACCTTGACGAGGTGCTTCGCTCCACGAATGTGAGGAGCTCGTTAGCACTCGCCTCTCTCCTAAACCGTGCGCACTGTGGCCAGCGAGGATTCCTCCTTATCACTTACGCTACAGGCTGCCGTTCAAGGGCTGTGAAATTGAGCCGCAAATTCCTCAAGGGTCTGGTGAAACGCTTCAAAAGTGGTGCAGTGGATGATGGAACCAAGTGTGACATGTGGCTCTCGGTAGCTGCAGTGATTGACCCCCACACCGCTGTAGACCTCTTGAGAAGTACGAACGAAGTGCAGGTAGTTGCTCTTAGAAACGGCTTTGTGGGATGCTGTGGCCCGTGCCTCATGGGCATGAATTGGGCGGATGTGGCCACAGTGGACTGCGTTGGCGAAGTCTCAAACATAATAAAGCGGTGGCAGCACTATCATCCGGATAGCATGGTTGTCGGAACGCTCCTTGTGAAAGAGTACGCGCCTCCTCCTCCTGGAGAAATGGAAGTGCCTGAGTTGATTCTTACAGTCTTCACCTTCGCTTTGACAGCAGACCCCAAGGGTTTTCAGAACCTTCGTAAGTCAAAGGCCTCACCTCTGCGCTTTTTCTTCACCGATGCATTGGGTGGCGCCGGTGTGACGACACACGTGACATGCATTATGGAGGGGGACAGGAAGTCGGATATTTTCTTTGAGAACGCTCTGAAACTCCGGCAAATTGTCAACCGCCCTCCAATCCTATACGACGCGAGGGAGCATTACAACATCGCACAGGAATTTCTGCAAGATGCGGTGACGAAGTTTGGGGAGTCGCGGGTGCGTGAGGAGACCATCGTGGTAGTGAAGGGTGTGCTCAGGGACGCGAAGTGGCTGCTATCCCACCCGGACGCCGTGCCACTGAAACGCCTCCAGTGTGTGCTCACCCTGCCTCTCTTGACGAGAAGCCCCCTGGAGGAGCTAAGTGCGCTGGCGGCAGGCGGCAACAGCGTCAAGAAGTTGCGCCCAGCAAGTCGGGATGGCAACGGGGGAATGGTGCAGGAGAAGGCTGGCACTAAGGACGCACACGGCACCTTCCTTCCCATCTTAGTGCCTTCTCAGAGAGTTCCAGTGCCTATACCGTCGCAGAAGAAGTCTATCCTAGCTGAACCACGATTCTTGCCAGGTGTGTCGTAAGCTCCGCTGTGCCAAACAAACGGGTAGCACTCCACCGGGGGCATGATCCCGCGCAGATTACTTGCATGAAGATTCAGATCATTCCAAGAAGTCGCGCTTTCCACAAGCATGCTAGACGTCTACTTGTTTTGTTTTGTTTTGTTTTGTGGGGGAGGGGAGGGGAACCGCGGTTGCTGCACAGTACGGCAGTAAAAGCGACGTCAGTGAGCACCTCTATCGAATATGTCTATTTTTTTAGCTAGGTGTTTGTTCAGTTGTGGTGCTCCCCTGCATGCTGTGCAAGCACATATCTTTCACCATTAGTTCTATGCAGCATCTGTGCTTCATTGCATGGGGAAGAAAAATGCACAAAGGGGGACGAAAACCGGTCTTCCGGATAATGGTGGCGTCTCGCGTTTAACATCCGGAAAGAAAAGGGAAAACGAAAGGCACAGGGTGGTAGAGGTTCACAGATTCCTTCTATCATTCTTATTGTTGCTCATGACGCAAGAAGCATTGCGGCTGGCGCTTGAGCATGTGTTTCATCCGACACCAGAGGTTTCCCCAATTTCATCTAATTGGATTGCAGTTATTTCTTGATCCTTTTTCTAGTGGCGCATTTTGTGTCCTTTAAGCTGAAGGGAAAATGAGATGGAAAGAGAAGGGTGGAGGAGATCACTGAAGACGTGGATGAGACCGTAAAGGAAGGAGGTGAAAGCGAAAGCGTAAACAGGATAGATATTCGCCCTATCGTCATCTCATACGTACTGTTTCTTTTTTCTTTTGTATGTGTTTTTTTTTTGGCTTTTCGTTTTATACCGAGTTTTTTGTTACTGTTGAACTGACCGGTACATTTCTACTAGTTGCCCTCTATTCCTCCGATGTTTTCTCTCTCTATCTCGATCTCTCTATTCATATATAATTATCTCCGCGTGCATGCGCGTACGGCGGGTGAGCTGATGCATCCGTAGCTGACCCCCATTCGCGCCCTTTCCTGTGGTCTTTCTATCTCTCTATCTGCCTCACAGTAAATGAAAAAGGAAGGGGAAAAGAATGACCCCCGTCACACCCACCCACATGGTACCGAGGTGCGCGTCACGAGGACTCCCGAAAGTCGCGACGCCTCTGCAATTAAGACAAACATCACTGACATGTTTGGCTTCTTCCAGAGCACGAGTCCAGGGTGGGGCCGCGGTATACCGCTCGCGGGTGGTGGGGCCAGCGCTCTCGCGTTCCGCTCGCGCCGGCTCAAAGAGGAGCGCTCCAAGACAGAGAAGGTGGAGCCGTTGCCCAGTGGTGACGACTCCCGCTCCACCCTGTCCCCCTACAGCTTGGAGCACGTACATCTCTCCGTGGAGGACGAGGTGGAGCCACAGCCCGTTGCGGCAGGGCCCTCGACGTTTTCATTCAGCACGGTGGGTGGGATCTCCATGTTCATGCAGCCCGAGTATCCAGAAGGTGACAACGTGATGTCCGTGAGAGAGTCGACGGAAAGAGGAAAGAAAGAAGCTGGTTTGAAAGGCAACGTGGATGTGCCAAGGATGTACCAGATGCGGGACGATTTATTGGAAAATTCACTGTCAAAGGTAGCCTCTCTTGACGCATTGTTGGGACCTAACTGCTCTCACGTATCTAAGTCATCGCCGCAACATGTACAGCAGAAACAAGGTCAGAAAAGGCAAATTCAGCAAGCGTCGGCTGACATACGGTCCTCGATAACGTCCGAGTTGGGGTCTTCAGCCAATAACCGGACTTCTGGTGTTTTCAACTTTGGTTATCAGTTTGGAGACATCTTGGATTGGAGCTATTTCTGTGGGACTATCCCCCGAAGTGTGTCCCTTGGGACCTTGGGTCTGAGCGAAGGCGCTTTGGCCCCACCAATCTCACCCAGTGAAGGACTAAGAGCACCAGGATCGGAGACATTTTCTTCAGCACAGAGTGGTACAAGGAGTTGGATGCGAGAGAACACTGAGAGCCAAATGAGTGTGCAATCGTCCACTTCGTTTTCCCTTGCTGTACCTCTCTGGGTAATGAACCGTGTCAACACCGCTGTAATCCTGTCACCCTCTCCGCATAACATTTCAGCGCGGTTAACGGTCTTGCCGGGCAATCAAGTGGTAGAGATTCCGAAATTCTGGCCATCTTTAGGAAAAGGGCAAGCACAGGCAACCGAACAGCTCAAATTCGATGAGGTCATTCGTGTTAGCTCAGATCAAAAGTCTGGTTTCGGCGAATGCAGGCGTCTCAGTGGACTTTTCCAATTGTTCGTCTCAGGTCACAGCACAGTGGTGATATTGGGTTGTAACACCTTCTCATGGAGCCTTACGGAAGAACTTATTATGTATTCTATACGCACTGTATTGGCACGGGTTGAGAAGGAAGAGGAAGCGAAGACCATTGCATCGTTTGATATTACCCTTCGAATCTGCTCCGTGAAATCATCTGAAAACAAGGCATGCGATTTGCTAAGCTCTGCAACAGAGTTTAAGGAAATTACCATTGCTCGGAGCCACCTTTACGGTCTTTGTCCGATTGGTATGGAAGAAGTTGACGTGGTGAAACGACTGCCAACGCTCGCGCAGCAAATTACAGATGCATATGCCAGGAGTTCTAGGGAGCGAGGTGTCAACATGGTTGTGGCTGCAGTGGGACTTAAGCAGGTGCAGAACACGGCACGAGTATCTGTTCTTCTCTCTTCCCTGCAACTTATTATCCTCAGTGATCCAGCGTCGCTCGTCCGGGGGGGCTCCGCGACCAGTAGTATCTCTACGATTGTACAGCGTTCCCTCAGCGGACCGTCCGCAACGCTTCTTATCGGCCACATCACTGGGATGCCGGGGCATAAAGAGTGGCTCCGCTTGATTTCAGAGAAGGGAGAGGCCACAGTGCCGTCGCCCCAACGCTTCACACTGGACGAACTGCTTCGCGAAACAGTGGTGCCGGAGCAACCGAAGAATCGTGGTGAGAACAGTTTTTCTAACAGAGAGTCAGGGATCCGCGGGAGGGAAGAGTCTGGAAATCCTTTCGAGGGTCGCACCAGGCGCCGCAGCTCCGTTTCCTTCAGGGAAATGGAGAGCTTCCCCTTATCCGAGGGCTCAAGCGGGAGATCCCAACAGTCAGAGAGCTTTCGTCGTGGGTCTCGCGAAGAAGGACACCGCCATAAAGAAAAGTCAAAAAAAAGCAAGACATCCAAGCACGATAAGAAGAAAAAGCGGGAAGAGCAAAAAGAGCCACAGAAAGAAGATGTGGAGGAACAGCAGAGGAAGTGTTTACAGGGAAATGAAAATATTTCACCTCTGTCTACAGCGCCCCGGGTAGAACAGCGTCGCCTGTCTGAAAAGGGTGATGTGTCTACGAAGAGAGTGCCACAGGTCGATGTCCCGAAGCCTTTCAAGGAGAATCCAGGCAAGTGTCATCATCGCCTCCACAATGAGACTGCCCCGCCTGCGGGGGAGAAATCAGCGCTGCAGTATTCAGTGCCGTTGAATAATGCACATCGCAGACACGATCGATCATCCATGACTGATGAGAATAGGTTATCGCCGAGCAGTGCGGCGAAGGACGGCGTCCCTGGCGTGCGTGGTCAAGTAGACACTGCTGCACACAATGAGTCATGTCCCCCCCGAGCGGAACAGAGAACCCAACCAAGCAGGCAGTACCGGGTAGCATCGACTGTAGACACTAACGTCTCGCTTCCTCCGACTTCAGGAGCAACTAAAGATCAAAAGAGGGCTAACAAGGTGCGCACAATGTTGGTGCTGACAAATGAATCTATGCGGTCAAACCCCATCTCTACTGATTCGGCAGGGAATGTCAGTGTTAGACTGAGCCGTGGTGCAAATCCCATCGTATTGTTTACCGCGGATGAAGTGCTGCCCTCCTTTATGGCCAAGGATCTGGCCCAGTCAAAAGAAATAAAGGAATTGGTACGTTTGTTTGCCACAGGGCACAATACGGCACTATTGTGTAATACAGTTCACTCATTTGGTGATCAAGGGTCTGGCTTTGTAGCGATGCCAGAGTGGTTCACGATCGCCGAGGAGATCGAGGCTTTGCTTGACAAGGAACTGATACCGAAAGGATGCTATCGTGAGGTGCATTTTAGCATGTGTGTTATTGAGGGCCAAAAGGTTGTTCGGGATATCCTTCGGCGGAGGGATGATAATGATAGTGATGAGCCGCTGACACTTTGCTATTCACCTCTCCTCGGAATCAACGTGAGCGGCGCTGCATGTATGAAGGTGAAAGAGTCACGATATGTGCAGCGGCTGCGTGCCGCCGTTAATAGTGCCACTGAGTTCATGCGATCTGAAGGAAATAGTGGTGAGGGAAAATTGCTTTTGGCTAGTATTGTCCTCGAACAGGTTGATGGCCTTGCCGCCGATGGAAGATCAACGGCGGGAGATGCTGTTTTGAGTGGCCTCCTCGTTGCGAGTAGTTTTTCCTCTAGTGATGTGGGAAGTACCAGAGCTTTTGACCTACACGAGCTGCCCGCAAACCCCTACATTGCCGTGGGAACAGGGCAGCCAAACCCCTTGTTTCGCTTCGCCCTTGGTGGCCCGTGCCACACGCTGAGCTGCGTCACCGTTGGGGGCAACACATGCGGTTCGAGTGTGTTAGCCATTCTGCGCACACAGCGGGCAATCAACGCCATAATGAATGCAACTCCTGTGCGCGGTAGTGTCCGCCAGTTTCTGGAGCGTAGCGAGGAGGAGTACAGGCAGATGCAAAAGCTCAATGAAAACATACAGAGGGGTAGTGAGAGCGCAACGGCAATTTCAATGAAGATGGAACGGCTGAAGCTGTTCATCGAGGACTACACGAATCTTTTGAATGACCCGATGAACGAAGATCCGACTTATATTCCAGGGGAGCATTCAATGAGTAACTAAATGCGAACTTTCGGTGTCATTTTTTTTTGTTTGTTTTGCGTTCCATGACTGTGGATGTAATATTTCATATTCGCGGTCCCCGTGTTCACACCGCCTTAACGTAAAAACTGTGATGATGATTCTTTTTTTTTTATATATAAACCGATACCCCATACAAGTTTCTGGCTGCCACTCTTTCCCCAAGACCTTGTGATGGGTTCTGCTGTATTGGTGGCGAATATATGCTACATGTCTTTTTGTTTTAGGATGTGAAAAGGTGTCCTGGTACATTGGTCTTTTTCTTGTATGTGTCTATTTTTATTTTCTGTTTAGGTGAACATTTATATATGTATATATGTGTGTGTGTGTGTGTTTGGGGGCACGATGGTTGAGTCGAGGTGCAAATGCTGTGCGAAGTATGTTTTCACTCTCTCGCTTCTCACGTTGGATTCTGCTGGGGTGGGACGCAGGTGCACCCACAGGAGATCCCCCTCTCTCTTCTGATATTGTTGTCACCTTGGCATCTTCTGTTGATTCGAAATGTAAAGGATACAGATGCCAGATGACGCATCCACAAGAATCTGAGAAGAAAAAAAAGGGCTTGAATGTGGGCAGCATCGCCGGTCGCACAACTCCGCCCCAGTGCAGTGTGATTGGCAAAGACACCTGCACATAAACAGTGTGGTCGGTGACCAATTTGTTTTGGCGATACGCACAAAATATTGAGAGTTTCTTGCATCGCTCTGTGCGTAGCGAAATGTTACTGTGGCGCTTGGCACTCATCATCAAAGTTGCCGGCACCTTGTGAAGTGTAATCGGGCCTTTGGGGGTGTTGTGCATCAGCTACAACGCAGAGCACCTGTTGGCGGGGTGCATCACAGTTGCGTTACCGGAAAGAAGCTCGCGATGCGGCCAGTACTGTTGTGCTTTTTGTTTGTGGTGCACTCTTGTGTTTGCACCTGAGTACGCGTGTGGGTGTGGGCGAGTTTTGTTGCGGCGGCTCTTCGTGTCACCTGTTCGGTCTCCACAAATGGAGATCAGCTGGCGAGCCACCACAAAAGAAGAAAAAACGCATTGCATCATGCGAAGAGCATCAGCACACACCGCGGCAGCGCCTGTATACAAAAGGCGTTTCTGGTGGAGGGTTCTCGTCAGTTCCCAATAGAAGTGGGTCAGTTGTCTCTGGTGTTTTTAATTGTTATTTTTTCTCTGCAGTTGTGCTCGTTGTAGCCAGTTAACGTTTTTTTTTATTAATATCTGACAGCCTGAGTAGGGCAAGTTGATTTTTCGTTGTCGGGAAACGCAAGAGTGAGTGAAGATGATGTTACTCTCTTACTGTAAAGTGGGTAATTTCGATGGGAAGAGTAGACATGTCTTTGTTCTGGGCGCCCACTAGTGAGCATTCCTGTTTACTCAACAGGTGGTGTCTTGAGAATGGGCGCCGGCCATACGGGTGGCGCCCAGGGGCGTCCTTGTTACGTAAATTGGTGGTATACCCGTGGCATGCTAGCTTTCTCTTCTCGCAGCTTGTCATTTGAGTAGGAGTTTGGTTCTGCTTTCCTGACAACGACGCCTGATGGGAAATAAGCCATCGGTCGAAGAAGTACGCATCCAGCGAATAAGGAACCGGCCAACTAAACCACCGCATCATCTTCCCCCGGATGCTTCGCTGAGGCGGCGATCCCTGGAGGCCCGCTCGCAATACGGCCAGGCGGGTTCCTTTTCTGGCAACGGAGATTCTGGGCTCCAGCAATACAATGCGGAATACCCCCTTGGCTCTTGCATGGGCGTCCCTGGTGGTCCAAATCAGAGCTTGGCGTACCCATTCAGAGACGTGTCGCAATATCCCTTTACCGCGCAGGAACCTGGTTTGGTGCAGTATCCCCCTGAATTTTGTCAATACGGCCCTCAGCAGATTCCATATCAATGTGGTGAAGAATATGCTCTCACTCCTTTTAGTGACCTTATGCAGCAGTACGGGTGTTCATACGCTACTTCTTCTACCACTGCGCTCACTTCTGGTTCTGATGGTGGGGGTGTTGGAAATTTGTCGCGCAATGACCTTGATTTTCAAGACGATTCTGGCGGCAGGTTGCGGCGCCGTGTCTCTTTCGCACACAACCAAAATGTTTCTAGTGGCACCCTAGGCATTTTGAAAAAAAAGCCAGTTAGTATTCTGAATAAGGTGAGTAGTTTCAAGGCCCTGCGGTCTGGGAAAGGGGGCGGTGATGATAAGACAAAAAATATGGAACCAGTCAGTGATGCTTCTCCAGTAGGATCGTTTGCAAATGCAAATAACGAGGGTGTGCGAGAAAGTGGTCCTGAGAAAGTGAAAAGTGGCATGAATGTGAGAAACACAAGCCCACTGGTGGCGACAGAAACACATACAGAGGAAAAGCATATAGACAAGGCTGGTTCAGTTCTGAAGTCCTCTGAATTCGAAGAGCAGAGGGCGCGGTCCGGGGCGCAAGGGCAAATGACCCAAAAGTCCTCCCCCACACCGGTCAAAAACGATCTGTTCGATGCCAAGGACCGCATATATTCTCTTGTTGTGATGGAGCAATCGCTTGCATCCCCTTTGTCTGAGGGCCGATCGCCACTGGTGGAAAGGGAAAGCAACAAGGTATCTGTTGTGAGCGACAAAGGTGAGACGTTTACTGTAGACGAGATCGCATCGCATGAAATAGGGTCCACTTCCATAGCGTCAGTAAAACTGAAAGAGGTAAAGAATACGTTTGTTTCTGGTTACTGTACAGCCTTGATATGCGCAGAAGGGTCCGGACTCTCAAGCAAGGCCCCTTTTATGCAGTCCCCCTCGTGGTGTGTCATAAAAAAACTTATGGGTGACATTATCGCGGACGTGGCACTGGAAGCAAAGGAAGAGTCTAAAAAGATACAGCTTGCCTGTGCAATCGCTGCGGTTCGGGGGAAGGAGATAGCAGATTTACTGAAGCCGGAACCGAAGTTTGAGAACTTGTCTGTGCGTCCCTCCCCGCTCTTCGGCATGCGGCTAGTCGGCCTAGAATACCGAAATATTCCTGACGATGACAAGTTCGCCTCCATGCTCACAGATGTCACTAAAAACTACGGTACAAAAGCAGGTACAGAGGCTAGTAGTTACATTGTCCTCTCGGTCATGCTGAACAAGCGTCTGCTGGGGACAAGGGACGAAGACCGTGATGTTGTAGCAAATTCGCTGCTTCTCGTAGCTGCTGGTGAAAGGGTATCAAATCTTCAGGGTGTCCTCGAAAAATCGCCCGATGAGCCGCTAATACTTTTTGACGAGTGCATTTATGGTGCCTGCCATACAGTGAGTATGTACGTAACGCACGAAGGGGATACGCAGGCAGCTGAGGGTCTCAAGCTGCAGAAAAAGATTACGGATTCGAGACATTTACCACCTCGGTTTGGAAGTGCGCAAGCACTGAACAGGATCATAGACGAAGCTGTAGGCAGGGCACAGGCACGTCTTCCTGAGTTAACCAACCAAGCTGAGAAGATGAACACTGAGAAGTTCATTGAGAATCGCATGGCACTAAAGGCATCGTTGAATGAACTGCTTGAAATGGTACGTACAGCTCCATAGTACAACCCCCTCCCTCTCCTCCTAGACGTCACTATTTGATAATCCTTGCATTTCGGATTACTTACCTATTGTATCATTATTTGGAAAGAAGGTCCTTGAGGCCGCTTTAAGGGTACTGTTCATGGCTATTGCCGTTGATATAATATATCTGGAATACTCTTGACATCTCTCGATCTTCGATAGCCATTCTCATTCCACAACATATAATAGTGTCCATATATATATATATATATATTTATTTATGTGGGTTTGTATATATATATATATATATATACATTATCTTTTGTTACGGCTGGGAAGCAGCCAATGACGTGACCTCTCTGAGCAAGTGATGCTCTTGATTTTTGTTTCGTTGAGTATTGTTGTGCCGAATTCGGAGAGATTGTATTCCTAATCGGCTCTTCAGTGGAGTTGGATTTTAATGTTGTTGTTGATGTTTTGAGAGCTTGCAAAAGGAATATTCAGGCCTTGGGTTGTGTTTATTGAGAAAGATACTGTCAAACTCGTTTCCCGTTTTTTTATATCATTGGGAGAATAGCCACACAGAAAAAGGTGTTGTTGTTTTTTGAAACTAAGTGTTACAGGATGTTGTTGACGGCACGCCCAGCTTTCTCGAAAGTGAAATTAGTGACCGGCACCAGACAATAACGACCGTTAGCACAGCGTAATGGCTCAACAGCGTCTTCATTTGGCTTTTGCACGTCACGGAACCCGCGGCAGATCCACCATGCAAAAGGCGTTGTAATCCTTGAATAGGGGGAGTTTATTGTGCCTTTCAATCAGGCACATTTCATCTCTCTACAGAGCAACACGTTATACCCCACCAGGCTGAGGGAAGCGGATTCTCTCGGGGCCTTCAAACACGACATGGTTAGCTCTGTGCTTAGAACAAGCTGACATGGGAGGGAGAGAATCGGTTGTGTATCATCGATACAAATGTGTCAAAGCACAATTGCCCGATAAAGAGTTCTCAAGGCGCAGAGAAGTGCTTGTGTGCATGTCCAGCGGCTCCAGCACCAAACGGTGCAGATGTAAGAGATGTTAAACCCGAAAGAGCTAAAGATTCAAGAGTTACAGAATCGGCAGGCCTCAGAGGGTTGCAATGACCGCAAACGGTCCCACAGCAGAATTTCCTTTGGATGCGTCTTGGAGAAGAATGGAACTTGAAACAGCCTCCACTACGGTAAACGGGTCGTCTTATTCAGAGATGGAACCGGATCGAACGATTGAAAAGCGGTTGCCCACGGACCGGGGCTCCACAGCGTTCAAGAGCTCAAGAAGCGGTCATGGAGTTTGGAGATGCGCTCAGATGAGGTCATTCACGCATTCGATGGTGTTCTGCTATGTATGCTGACTACCTCGCAAGGTCAGCTACACACTGTATGCCATTTCTTTTTTCCCCATACCGGCGACATCGCACCCGGTGTACGATGAAGCATGGGAGAACTTCGTGTCATGGGCATATGCGAATTCAAGCGGAGGGTGTGCGCCCAGTTTTACTCAGTTTATAAAATGGCCATATATTCAATTGGGAATCATACAAGCAGTGCAGAATAATCCTGGAGCGCAAATACCAGGATGTGCACGAGGCCATATCCCCCGCGTGCTGACGAACGGGTGTGAAAGCACGGCCTCCCACAGGATGCGCACAGTAAGAGTGAGGTGGGGCACTGTTTTATTATTATTATTATTATTATTAAGCATCTATTTTTCAACATTGTACGAAGATGGTTTGCCACGTCTTGATGGAGGATTGGCACGTCCTAAATATCAGGGCGAATTGCCATCTCATCTGCCGCGGCTGGGGCAGGTATGGTTTGACATATTAAAGGCAAAGTGGGGAACAAAGGCATATGTTTCTTATTTCCCCCACACACTTCTTTTTTTTTTTTTAGGGAGGGGGGAGAAAGGTGAAAGTAAGGTCCAGTCTATTCAAATTTACTGAGTGTGTGTTTTTTTTTTCGTATTTGTTATTTTGCTTCCGATAATTTTTTGTCTTGCTTCTCTCGCATCTCTTAGCTAGGGAAGCGAAACCGCACGAGTGCAGCGCGTCGCTGACGGAACAACAGTAGAGGTTACCGTAACGAAGTTAACAGAAGAGGCATACACCCAGGGTGATGCAGAAAGGTCCGAGTACCAACCTGGCCCCTCCGAGAGGTGCTTCCACAGGTCCCTATCCACAGAATGGGCAGACGCAGCAGAAGTACCAGCCACCGGCATTTCCAAACCAATATGGATCTTACGGAGATTTCGGTGGTGGGGCTTATGGCGGTAGCCAATATTATTTTCCAGGGGGTTCCATGAAGCTGAACAACGGAGGAGCTGGCAGTGGTTATGGAAGCTACGGCAATCTTTCCAACGGCAATCCCTACGGCAGCTTTTCGTACAATGGTATGGGAATGGGTAACAGTTTTCATGGACCCGGTGGTTTTCATGGACCCGGTAGTTTTCATGGACCCGGCAGTTTTCATGGATCAGGCTATGGCAGTTACGGCATGAACAGCATGGGCGGATTTGGCAGTGGGTATGTCTGGTCGATGCACGGTTACCAAGAGCCTCCCCCAGTGTTGTACAAGCTTTTCTCGAGCCGGCGTGACAGAGGCCGTTTGGGATCTCAGCAAGACTTCCCTTCACGTTATTCGCTCTACAGTTTAAGTTGTAAGAGCCCTCTCGAATCGAAACCGTCGAAGGCGGTTGCGTCTTCCTCTTCCATTGAAAAGGCACCGTCGAAGCCGGCGTCAAAGCAGGCACCATCAGGTGTCTCAGGCATCTCCAAGACCTCCATTGCATCAGAAGCTAAGAGCAGCACGGCAAAGACTCTGCCCTCAATATTAAGCTCTGGCGAGACACAGGATAAGAGCTGGTTAAAGTCGGATTCAGTCCGCAACGAGAAGTCCCGCCCAGCGGAACGCGGCCCCGGCCGAATGGAGAAGGTACCTGTCCCACCACCCAAGATGCCAACAGGAACGGGAAAGCCGGTCACTGCAGACAAACAAGAACCCAAAAAGGAGCGGCCGCGGAGTCCAGTTTATTACGCTTTGGATGAAAAGGAGCCACCCGCTCGTGCGGGTGAAAAGACTGCGAAGCAAGCCACCTCAATGGACAAGAAGGATCTGCGGAATGCCAGTGCAGCCAAGGGTAAGGATTCCTCAGCATATGTCTCCGCTTCTAAGGCGATGGATGCCAAGGACAAGGCTGCTCAGTTGGAGAAGGAGAAGGCAGAAGAGGCAAGAAAGAAGTCTTTGATGGATATTCCCATTTCGAACCGCGTCAGCGAAGTGAAACGGCAGCCACTGCAGATGGGCAGCTCTTTTGGAGGCGGCGAAGGCAGTGAGGCGGTGGCATCGAAAAGTCGGGATGAGGATGAAGAAGCACGGCAACGCTCGCGCTCGCGTAGCTCCATACGTCGAAGGTCCTCAATTGGCCGCGTGCGCAGCTCCAGCATGATCAACATGTCCATCGCTGAGTTCCCGGAGGCAGACGAGATGAAGGACACCCTTGGCGATGACATTGTGAACCACAGGCGCTCGTCAGCCGTGGCTGGCGACGTGGCGACCGGTCAACGTAGGCAATCCAGCGTCGTGGCAGACCCCAAACGGCGGGAGGAGCAGAAACAGAAAGAGGGGAGCCGTCAAGAGGCGCAGAAACAACTCCAGGGACAGAGCCGTCAAGAGGAGCAGAAACAACTCCAGGGACAGAGCCGTCAAGAGGAGCAGAAGCGTCAAGAAGCTCGGCAACGCGTGGAGGAGCAGAAGCGACTCGAACAAAATCGGCAAGAAGAACAGAAGCGGTTGGACGAGGAAACAAAGAAAGCTAACGAGGCAGAGCGAGAGCGCCGCAAGACGGTGGAACGGGAACGCTTCCTAGAGGCGAAGCAACGCGAGGTAGAGCGGGAGGAGGCACGCGTCAAGGGTCTTATTGGCCAAAATGGGGTGCCTTACCAGGCGCAGAAGCCAGAAGAGAAAAGACGTGCCAGCAATCGTTTGCGCCAGCCGTCGTCACGTAGGGGGTCTCTTCTACGCGTGATACCAGAACAGCCACCTGATGTGGAGGCTGGTGCTGTGAAGGACGTGATGGCAGACACACTAGCGTCAGCACATGAGCAACACCAAAATGCTCGGAAGGCATCGCTTGCAGAGGGGGAGAAACCCAGGCTGCAAAAACAACCACCTAGACAACAAGAGCCAGTGATGCAAGAACAACTTCAGCGAGAGCCACGGGCGCAGGAACAGGAACAGGAACAGGAACAGGTGAGTGAAAGGGGAAAACAACAAGAGCAGGAAAGTTCCAGCCACCAGCCTCCATCCCAATCTCCATCCCAGCTCCAGAAAGAGCAACCGGAGCCGGTGCATGTGCACAGGCAACACGAAACGGATTTCCGTCAGCACAACGTTCATTCGCAAAATGTAGAACAAGGGCAACAGGAACGGCATCAAGATCAGCAGCAACACCAAAAGGATCCAAAGAAAACAAATCCCATCAGAACACTCGTTCTGGTAGAGAAGCAGCCACGCGGGTCGAATGCCATCACCACGGATGGTAATATTTTCACATACCGAGGGGAAGAGCATGAGGCCACTGAAGTTGTTACCCGCCCTCCAGGAAGCATGGCCTACCACTCGAATCTTTTCAGTGTGATGAGAGACACGGTGTGTGGAGGATACAACACTGCTATCATATCTTTGGAGGCTCCCAATGTTGGAAATGTGTTCAGCTCCCCTGTTTGGCCTGGTCTCGCCCGTATTGTACGCGGTGTGCTGCAGAGAAACCAGAATTCGGCTGAGGGCACAATGGAGCTCACCGCGGGGTTAGGCTTTGTCCATCAGGACAAGGTGCGAGACCTCTTCGATGAAGGAAATGGCAAATTTGAGAAGCTTCAGGTGCACCCATCGCCCATCTACGGGCCCCGCATTCTAAAGTTGCGCTACGGTAAAATTACGTCCGATACGGCCTTTGAGGAAGCCCTGAACGGCGCCTTGCGTCGCGCCAGCAGCGATCCGGTGCTTTCCACAACGGACGGTATGCTTATCGGGATACTGCTCGCCAAGCAGCACCGTATTATCACCAAGGAGAATGGTGAAAAGATATGTGATGTGTTGCTCTCCTCCTTCCTTGTGGTCTCGGCAGGGAGCAATGCGCTGGTGTTTGAAGAGGCCCTTGCACGCACAAAGAACTTCTACAGTCCACTCTTTCACCTTGTATTTGGTGGCCCCTGCAACACGTGTTTCATGTTGAATCTCTCCCAGATGGAGGAGGGCGCTGGAGAACAGGAGGTGATCAAGCGACTCATCGCATTACAAGACAAGATGCGGTCATGCAACAATTACCCGCTGCGCAGTGGCTCGGTGCTGAGGTTTGTGCGGTATGTAGACACGGCGCACAGGGAGGGACTCGAGCGCATCAAGCGGCAGGAGGATCCGGAGATGCGCGCGAAACTCGAGAAGTACGTGCACGAGCAGGAACGACTGCTCGCAGATGCGCTGAAGATGCTGGCTGAGGCACGCGAGGAGCTGGGGCTGCCGTCGTCCAAGAATGGTGAGGAGTGTTGATAACACTTGATGTCGGTTTTGTAATTTGTTTGTTTTCGCCGCATCTGGTCTGTTAAGAGAGAAGGGCGTTGCTTGTCCCAGGGGAAGGGTCCCTGTTTGAACTCCACTAGGGATAAGACGACAAAGAGGGATAAGATAGAAAACAGAACGAAACAAGGAATATTTTTTTTTTAAACGGGGCAAACAGAGTGAACGAAAAATGTCTCTGCGTGTCCAGGAGGGAGGGCCCTCCAGCTCGATAGATGAGCACGGCTGCATGGTGTCAATCAAGAAAATGCTGGTCCGAGGGCACAAGGGCAAGAAATAATAAGAAGAATCAGAGAAGACGGGTGCGGTGTGTTGTGGTAACTGACAGGCAAAGGGGAAGAAAGAGGAAATAAATATTCACGCACACACACACACACACACACACATACACAGAAAATAAAAAAGGAAAAGAAAAATGATACTATCTTGTTATGACAAAGAATAGCATTCCCTCTCGNGAAGACGGGTGCGGTGTGTTGTGGTAACTGACAGGCAAAGGGGAAGAAAGAGGAAATAAATATTCACGCACACACACACACACATACACAGAAAATAAAAAAGGAAAAGAAAAATGATACTATCTTGTTATGACAAAGAATAGCATTCCCTCTCGTTTCCGCATTCGTCAGCCTTGGTTACATCTTCCTCCATCTCTTTATTTCTATATCTCCTTCTTCCACATTCCCTCCAGGACATCTCTACAGTTCGTCACTGTTGCACTCGTCCGGATGATCTTGTCAGTGGTGTCGGTGTTACAATCATTCTTCGTGTCATAGTGTTTCTTCGCGTTTAGTTGCGAAGAGGGCCAGTGTTGTTAGAAGAGAGAAAGGGAGACATCCATTCATGTGTCGCCTAATTTGCAATTGCCTCACTTTGTTTTAGTTTCTTTTGTTCATGATTTTTTTTGTTGGTTTGCACTCTCTATTTCGACCTCTCTCTCCATCTCTCTCTCTTTATTCATCGTGTCGGCTTATATCATGTGGCTACTCTGCTTTCAAACGAAGCAGATGGGAAGGGTGGTCCCTGCGTCTCTCTCTCTCGGTGGTTTTTTTTTTTACTTTTTTGCATCCCTTTCGTCTCTGAGTGAGTGTGTGTGTGTGTGTGCTTCTGGAGACCAGTGGGCTCTGGAACAGCTCAGAGACGAGGCTTTTCTCCCGCCCCATTGTTTATAAGGCAAAAACGAGAAGCATGGGAACAAGATAAAAAAGGAAGAAACACGGGGGCAAGAGCGTGGGATTGGGGTATCATTACTCTGTTTTTTCTCTTTGCATTCTGAACGTGTCTATTTGAGCTTACCGCGCCCCCAATTGACAAGAATGTGCACCATAGTATCATTAGGGCGGCACCCTATTGAAGCAGCATGGTTGGGAGAAGACCCAAGTTTCGGATTATGGGCGGGTTCATATCCACCCTTGTTCATATCTGGATTCCTCTTGTGTAATTCTGTCGTGTTGTTGTTGTTGTTTTTTCCCCATGAAATTCTTTTAGAAAGGACTCCGTAAGGGAAGGGGGGTTTTTTTTTGTGAAGTTGGAAACCCACACATGTATGCAGGTGCGTTTAATTGCCGCCATGCACCGCAGGCTTTCGTCTCGTAGCGACCCCACGGTTTACGCGCTGCGCCTGACCCAGCGGCGTGGGTGTTGTCCAAGAGTTGCCGTATCGGCCCAGACGAGGA